ACTGTGCAAAATCATCTGATTAGCCTTGTTTTCTTCCAATCGCCTTCTTGCTTGCCCTGAATCGAAATACAAGAGTAATGAGTTCAATTAGGTACCAATTAAGTGTAAAATACTGAATATTGAGGGATAAAGATATGACAAATTTTATTCTCATCAGCGTGGCACAAAGGTGACTTGTAGAATCAGGAATTTAATATGTTTTACATCACATTAGCTACTTGAAGTAATGCAATTGAGGAAAAAAGAGATTGTGGGCCTTACATGCTTGAAAATGTTTTATATGTTTGATTTTATTTTTAAATTTTCATTTGAATATGCTTTACATGTTATGCTTATGTATTTTAATTTTAGATAATAGGTTTTTTAAACCATTAACTTTAAAACTTAAGTTTGTATTTCTTATTAATATTATGTTTAATATTTTTATTTTTTGCATTTTTTTGAATTTTTTGGCATTTTTTTTTTATTTTTTAGCATTTTTTTTTGTATTTTTGTGCCTTGCTTTAAAAAGGTGTGTGCCTCGCCTTGTGCCTCTCACCTCAGGCCCAAATTGGCCCTTGCGCCTTACGCTTTTAAAACATTGGATAATGTGCTTCTAAAGATCTTTTGGACTTAACTGGTCTCTCATGCGAAAATGGATTCTGGAGCCTAAGTATTTTGTATTGAGCAGAGAATTTTTGAGTCTTAGAGCATGGGAGATGATTTTCTGGTGGTGTCTAAGAACATTTTTACTGAACATCACACAAGATTTGGCATAGTTGATTTGCTGACCGGAAAGGTTCTCAAATGTATTGAGGATTTCCAATAGAGATCTTATTTGGGGCATGTCTGCTTTCTTGAAGATAATGCAATCATCTGTGAACATCAAATGTGTGATAGGGGTGCCATTCCTACAAATCTTCACACCTTCAAGTGAGCCTTGATTTGAAGCATTGTTTTGCATGCTAGTGAGAACTTCCATCCCTATGAATAGGTATGGTGATATGGGGTCTCCTTGTCTAAGGCCTCTACTGGCATTGAAGTATTCTAATATTTCACCACCTAGTTTGATGGAAAGGCTTGGGGAAGAAATGCATTGATGAATCAGCTAGCACCATTTTGATGGAAACCCCATGTTTTGGAGTGTATCTTGTAGGGAGTTCTATCCCATTCTATCAAAAGCTTTTGGCATGTCCAATTTTAGAGCAATATATCCCTTTCCTCTCTTTTGGATGTTCATTTCGTGAATAATTTCTCTTACTAACAAAATGTTATCCGTGATTTGTCTTGTTTTCAAGAAGCCGGATTGGTAGGGGGAGATTATATCTTGAAGGATGAGTTGCAGCCTTGAGACCGGCCATTTAGAGATGATTCTGTAAATGACGTTACAGAGGCTGATGGGTCTGAAGTCTGAAGGGGTGCTTGCAGTTGAATGCTTAGGGATGAAATTATGAAAACAAGATTAGTGTTGTTAATGCCCCGAGGTAAGCATTCTGAGTAGAAAAAATGAGAGACCATCTGGAAGATGCTTGGCCCTACTATGCTCCAAAACTTTGATAAAAGAAGGCTGTATATCCTTCCGGGCCCGGTGCATGGGTTCATTTGGTGGACAACCTGATGTATTTCCTCCGGGGTTGGGGGTTGGAGCAAAGAGTTTATTTGATCTTCATTAAGTTGGGGGAGGTGGATGCTTTTGTAGGGCACCTGTGTTATAAGTTTCTGAGCTTCATTCTTTGTGTTCTTTTTGTTGGCCATGTGATGAAAGAATTTTGTATTCTTGTCACCATCCTTGAGCCATAACTCTCGGGATTTGAGCCTCCATAACTCTTCTTTGGACAGCCAGTAAGAGTATTGCCTTCGAAGGTTATCAAGTTGATCAGATGGGGAATTAGGAGAGTCTGACATTTGAATTTGGTTAGTGGAGGCTGAGAGGCAGTTTAAATGATCTTGGATGATGCCAAAAGTGTTTCTGTTCCACTGTTTTAACTCTCTTACATGAAGATAATTCGACTTTTATTTGATGATATGRTGAGCCTTGAACTGAGGCATTCCAAGAATTGGATATAATCTCTTTGCAGTCCGGATGGTCTGTCCAAAAAGGCATGAAATGGAACTKGGATTTTCTCCTCGCCTGGCATGGCTGTGTGGCTAACTTGATTGGTCCATGATCTGAATGAATTTTGGGGAGGTGATAAACAATAGACTCTGGGA